GCGATAAAGAATGTAGAGATTAAGCTCCAGGAGTTTGTTGCTCTGGTAATGAAGTTGTGAGATAAGAGAAAAAAATTTTTTTTTCCATATACATTTTTTGGGAGTTTTAAATCTCAACAGCTTCAAAAAAAAGCCCTTTTCGTAAATTATAGGGGAGAAACCGCAAATCAACAGCCCTTTAAGGTCAACGATTATTTTATGGCATAATCGTCAGGAGAAGTGTCAGGAATAGATGTAAAATTTGTAACTGAAAACGTTTCACATTACATGTCAACACACTATGGTGTTCCATTTAGTAAGTCTCGGGCGAAGCCGAGACGGGAGGCCGCTAGTTTCATCAATAAAAAAAACCTTTCGCGAAAGAACATACACTAGTCTATTTTTGGATCTAAATAGTATTGCCATTATGAAACTCTATGAAATGCTCTTGAGCAAGATAAATCAGCTATACATGTGGTCCAAAGATGTTGCATGAAAGCGAAAATATACACATATTCGGGAGTGTGGCTATGAAATCTTTGTGTGGAAAAATAATAGCTTAGACCTTATTGTTATTACTACATAACTAAGTGTAAAGTCATTTGATTGACTATTTGTTACTTCGTCTGCAACATCTCAGAGTACTCGTAGCGGTTTTGTACGTATTGCGCATATAAGTGCAAATTGGATTGGGGTGCACGTGGAAGAGATAGGATAGCTATTGAATGAGCTAAATCTTGATGTATTAGCAATATCACATTCGTGCGCAAGACTCGTCGTGGTGTTCAATCCAATTATACAGGCGTTTACAAAATCACCGTTCTCTGAAATCAAATACTGGTATAAAAAAGTATGTCAAAAGGACGATAGCATGCTATGTGAGGGATACTATTTATTTCAGACTTTAATTTGTTTTATTTTCAAGGGCTTGTGCTCGATAGTTCATTACATTATGTGAAGTTTGCTGATGCTAGCTACGCATTATCGAGGAGCCGTGAACACTTGGATAGATCATTTTGTAGTTGAATTCCTCGACAAGATAATATTGATCAGTTAATTGTTAGCCCTTTTTATTAACAAGCATGACTACATTTATGTACATTGTAGGATTAAGTTATGGCGCAAAAGTGCAAGCACTCAAAAGATTGCGCGCCTTCAGACTTTATTTGGCTAAGAGATATTCGACTCAGTTTTCTACAGCTATGAATGTTCTATACTGCAACTATGTTAGACACTGCTTTTTTAAAGTTCAAAGAGATAGTAGTAAGCCTTAAGCCTTCTGGGTGATAAGACCCATTTTTGTGAGTGTAGTTATCGTTAGCCTCCAGCCATTTGGTTTACAGAAAACCTAAGAAACCAATGTAGAAACTGCGACTGTATGTACAAAAGGGTAAAAGTGCACTGGCGATGTAGGCTTGTTGCGTGAGTACAGATTTTTTTCTCCGGTTATTAATATCAACATGAGACGGGCTTGTGGGGGTTTTCTTAAATAGATACTGTCGACAGCATATTTTTTAAATTATTTGTTAGAAACTGATTGTCATCGCGTTACTATTGCAAAATGACTTTCTGGAGATTTATGTTTCAAGTGTTTTTATTAATATTTCGTTGTAATAGTTACGTAATATTACAATCTACTTTTAATTACTTATCGTAGTATTTGAGCCATATATTGTTACCGACTTGCTGCCATCACATACAAAAATTTGTAAATATTATATATGTCGTCGTCGTCGTCGTCGTCATCGTCATCGTCATCATTATCATCATCAAACTCATCTTAAAAATGTATATTTAACATGGTCTTATATAGGAGGACATTTAGTTTTGATAACATTCAATTTTTTAGAGGCAACATACATTTACAATTTTAATGAATTTCAACTGTAGTTTTCGCAATGTCTTACAAAATAAATTTAAATAATCAACTCTTAAAGCTTTGTTTGCAACTACACAATATTTTCAATTCACCTCAAACGATAGTCCAAAACATTATATATATTTTTTTAACTTTTACTTTCAACACCTTCCTTCTTATTTTAGATGAAAACTTTCAAAAAAAACTTTCGAATCCAACAGGAATAGTAATAGTCGAGAATATTCTCAATCCATATATACGGTCTACATTAATTTATTTCCAGAACATAAGTGATTCATAATATTAAAGCATTATTGTAACTTCGTCTCACCACAAGAAATTAAGATTGGTGTCAAGACCATACCATGTAACTATAGAACAAAGTGATATGATGTTCATACCACTTCCGTACTTACACAAAAATTTTTAAAAAACCTTCTTGAAATCCCCCAGATTGTTTCATGAAAATTGATTTTTGGTTTTGACGGTATGGTACACAAAAAATAGGTGATGGGTGCATAATGCGTCCTTTTTTGCCATGGAACTTGGTTACAAAACAAAATACTATTTCTTTGACTGTTATCTTTTACTTTAAAGATAAAAATAACTTGTAGAAACAAAAATACTTCTGCCATAATCATTGAAGATTTAGATGATTAACGAGATTATAGTTTGGTAATTATTATTAATAAAATAATTCAAAAAAATTTATATTATATATATACACTCATCACAGTAAATAACTTTAGTGTAAATGATATTTGCAGGTTTATAACATGTTTTCCGAATTTACCGGGCCAACTCTGATTAAATCAGGACGATTTTCACCGAAAAAAAAGATTTATTGAAGACTGGGGACATTTAGGACAGAGACGTTTAAGAGACTTCTCTTAGCACTGGAATACTTGACCCGTCCATGGTTAATAAATAAAGAGAGTATCACGTAACAGAAAATAAGAATGTTGAATTTATGCACGAGTTTGCTGAGGGCGTTTTGAAATAAAATCTGTTAAAAATCTTGACTAACAATATTTGTAATGATAAAATATTAATAATTAAATAAGACAAACAGAACTCAAATGATTTTAAAATTCAAAGAAAAAATGTAGTACAAACAATCATCTTTTGAGATTTTGTGCTTAGTTGAACATTTACCCAAAATCATAGGTAGTTTTCTATGCAAACCGAATGAAAATTTGAAATTGTTTTCAATATCACGAGAAATCGTTGGTGTTTTGTAAGCCCTAAGAATTGTTTAAGTAGATTTATTCCGCTTAAAATATTTTTTAGAAATTCAGAACAAAGAATATATGAGGCGCCATTTCCATCTAAACATCACTTTTCAGTTTATATATCCCATCGCTTCAGAGATTTCATTGCCATCCAAACATTATTTTTTGGTTCATATATATTGGTTCATCAAAAGTATTGTTCTTATATGCCAAGGATTAGTTTCGTTAGAATTGATGCTTTATAGCTATTTTCAAAGGTTAATTTCTTCTGAACTTGTATTTTTACCGAACGTTTTCAAAATTCTATGTTTGCGATCGATTCGCATACTTTTCCTCCCGACCAGTCTGATACTACAATAGCAAACCAGAGAAGACTAGTATCACAGGTACCAGTCAGTCACGTTTTCTGAAAACTTCAATCAAAAATAGTTTAGCTCACTGGTTTTTTATAGGGCCAAAGCCGCTTATTGTATACTTTAATAAAAATTTAACAAGCTACAAAGTAACTTCACCTTATATTTTCGTACCTTTTTGGCAATCAACCATACTACCTCTTAACTCTCTTAACTACTTTATTCTAAATTTGAGTGTAAGAAGCTTACGTACCAAGGAGTCTAAAAAATAACTTATGAGTGGATGTACGCCGCATACACACGTACATTACAATAGACGTTAAGTCGTTATAAGTTGACTTATAGTTGTATGTTCTTCCCATTCCTTGCTCTATTTTGCAGCACTCAGTACTCTTACTCACAAAACATAATATTGTAAAGGCTAGTAGAGCCTTACAGGCTTTGAACACTAAGCCCTCTATTTAGATTTATGAATTCAGAATATAATCTTAATGGACATATTTTAAGGTTTATAATTAACAAGTACAATTATATGATTACTACTTTACTGTAGTCTAATGAAATTGTGATCCCTAGTACATAATTTTTCTTGAAAACATTCTTGTTTGATAGTTTAGAATACTTAATTATTGAAGAGAATCGGGAGTAAATGCAAAGTTAGTTAGAAAAGGTTCGAATTCAGTAAATCCTGATTTGTCTTGATATGCCGAAGATACAAAAGATTAAAAATTTAACTTAATAAGTATGCAATAAAATGTTATTTAGAACATTTACGATCAAACATGATGCACATTGTCAAACGGATGTAAGACTATGACAAAATCAAAATATTTATTAAGTTGTTTAGTAATTCAATTTTTTGTCATGGCTAAGAAGATAAATGTAGCTACTTAAAAATTAAAATCCTATGTCAACGGTTTTTCCAATATTATTGTATTTTTTAGTAACGTTTAGGTCATCATTAAAAACTTAAGAAACTATTTCAACGATGTGTATGTCACACTTACTCGTTAAAAAAGAATTCGCAACTGATGAATGCGGAAAGAAATTATCATTTTTCATTTAATCTTTTACATCAAGGAATTTTAATTTAAGAATATTCAAGCTATGTAGGGTTATAGAATTTTGAAAGTCTAGATAAAAATGTCACCAGGTATTAATAGCTTAGGATTATTACTCAACAAACTTTAAATAATTTTTTTTAACTAATAAATTCTTATAAGATATTCACATGACTGAATTGGCTAATGTGATATATAGTTGATGCGAAACACAATCAGTAAAAAAATTCCGTTACAGCATCACTTAAGCCACAAGACCTATCCATAAAACTTTGAGATTGAATTACTTCAACACAATTTCAACACAACTATTGTGAAAGAAGATTAGATGTTGGTATCAAAAAGACCTAGATATGAGAGTATTTTTAAACATGCAAAGAATAAAAGTCGAATAACAAAGATACCAAGACTTTACATCAAATAGATTTACAGCAATTTTATTTCTTACTGTATGCAGTAAATCTATGAATAGTAGCATTATATAGGATGAATATTAAAAGCGTACACAATGATTTACCTGAGTACCCTCATTACAACGAGTCTTATTGGCTTTTGGTAACGGCACAGGACATTCTGAGCTACGACCATTGCAAACTGAGTTGTAACTGCAGTCCGACTCTACTTTGCACTGTACGTTTTCTGTCAGTGGTACAAAAGTGCAGTGTTCACTTGAGCAGCATGGCCCTTGGCTTGGACTAAACATAAAAAAAAAAGTTTTCTTATCTTGTGAAAAATACTTATCCCCTTAAATTAACTAAGCATTATATCGTTATACATCTCAGAAATGTTATTTTTGATACTAATAAAAAGATTTTACGATAATTGTAATAAACAAATTAGTAAATTTCCTTACAACGCAGGAAGACAGAACTTTCCTATAAAAATAACTAAATAACCAAAGGCTGTATTTTGTACTTACAGGCATTCCACTTTTCTACTAGGTAAAGAAAAGGTTTCTTTCCTATGTAATAACAACACGTAAGTTTGAACAATTGAAAAACGTATTTTCTGAAAAAATTGTTTTATAAATTATAATTATAAAATAAAATAAAAAAAATTCAAATAACTAATCTGCAATAATTCACTAGCTAACTTAACAAACTAACAATTTGCACAATCGAAAGTTCCAAAACCAATAATAAAAATGTATTTAAAAACACAACCTGATATAATCATAAAAACGATGTTTTAATCAGCAATTTAGCGTTGATATTTCCATTAAATTTTTCATAGAAGAGTAAAATGGTATTTTTAAAGAATTATGTGTAACATCAGTAGCCGAACGTTTCAAAGATTTTAAATTGCCTGACACACCCACTCTTCTGCACTGTCCTCGCTCTCTACTACTCCTATCCATCCGCACAAACAGCGCCAAAAGAGGAAAGGCATTTAATGATTTTTTGTAGCCTTTAAGAAGAAACTGTTTGAAAAAAATCATACCAGCATGCAGTGCACCTGGTATACCTTCATTGCTCTCGATAAAACTTTCCGTAGGAAACCAGACGCTGCAAACACGCCAACTTATGAACAAATTCCGAGGTATAACGAGCACCAGATGTTATTTTTACTTGACATGGTGTTGACTTATTTCATACCGCAGATTTTTTCTGAGCTTTTTATATTGTATCAGATTTGTTGATAGGCGAGGTATTTTTACTGTTAAAGTGTAATTAACAACTGCTTGGTTATCACAATTCAGCATGGTAGATGAAAATTTTTCTCTCTAAGTTTTCTTTTGCTTGTAAAATGTAGTCTGTTTTAGGCCTACCTTATTAATTTCTTTGCATGTGAAATATTAAGACGTTTTATAATTTTGAAGATTTATTTCAATGTAATACACTTAAAACTTTTCTTCTGATTTATTATATTCTGGACAATGTCATCTTTATTTTCGTTGCAGTCATATTCTATATCATTTTGGATTATCGGAAAAGTTAGTAAAAGTCTGGTAAATTTCAATTTTGAATCTCGATTTTTACATTAACAGACACAGTAAGTAAGGACTTCTATACGCTCATACTCTATGATAACTTGGTATTTTTTATTATTTGGGACTATCTTAAAAGAAGCTTGGCAACCAGTTGCTATTTAAGTAGATAGAAATTGTTTTAAACACGTCAAACAATTAGTCACTTGTGGGGATTTATCTTAAATCATGACATTAAAATACGTAGTTTGTAAATAGAGAAAGTGATTTTCCAAATTTTAAAAACACTCGCTACAGCTCCAGCTCTGCATATTTGGTTTATAATGAATGAGTGGCTAATTAGGCTTTCAAAATACACAGTTAATTTTCTTTAACGTATTATGAACGTATCTTTATCAAATAGAGAAAAAAATTTTTTTTTAAATTATAGCACGTTAACAAAATTAGTACAAACGTGTAGAATCTATTTCTCGTTTTTTTTGCCCCGATTGATTATAATAATTTACAAAAATTAAAAATTTTAGACTTCAAGATCGACCAATAGTAACTGTTTTCATGAATTTCCTAATAGAGGAAACAATCACTGTAACCGAATAGAGAGAGTTGTTCGTGCGAATATAGAATGAACAGATAAAAATCATTGTTATTTTGTAAAACTGTTGTGCATGTGCTAAATTTTTTGAAAAAATATTTCTCTACGAGCTTTGGGGTCAGCTTAGGCTAATTGAGCAGGAAACTTTACATGGCTCTCGCTCATAATACGTTGTGGCGAATAGACGCATCGTTGCTACTCTGTTGAGAAATAACGACTTACGTAGCGACGTATTTACCGCACGGAACTTCCTGGACATACAATCCTGTTGATCAAAGACATTCCGACACGGCTTCATGGACTCAGAGGGAGTCGACGTAAAAGACGATCGTCAGGACTGGTGGTCTATGGAAGCCGAACCCATTCATAAGAGAAGCCATTGCCTGCAGGTATAGTGTCGTCCGTGGACCGTCCTGCATTTTTCTCGATTAATCTACATCACACTTAGAGGTAGCATAATTTCTAGCGTTGTATTTTATTATACTTGAAGCGACGCATGGTTTGTGGTAGTGTTTGATTTGGCACTATACGTGTTACATAAAACATCGTTACGCAAACTCTGTTGCGTTTTTGAGCTTTTGTCTAAACCATTATGCGTAGCTTCTACCAAGACAAATTTTTATCCCGATAAGCCAACCTCAATTTCAGGATTTGTTTTAAGGGGTTATCTGTAAGAAGTTTAAAGTTATTTCAATACATCAATTAAAATCAAAGAAAGCCATTTTTGTTCTCATTATATTCTCATTTAATCCATTGTCTCCTCAGTTGACGCACATGCGTGATAGGAATATTACAATGTCCCTAGCTAAGAGTAGCATCATTCAGTATATTTTATTAGAAATAACTGATATTCAGATTAATAGTACTAGTTTTTGTGAGGACATTGTTATAGACTATATAGTCTAGTGTATGTACCATAAGTATGTGCGAGTTTACGTGTATGCACGTAAGAGTGTGTATGTTATTTCAATGTTACATATTATTTGTAACGATCATTATGTCAGTATACTTATTATATTACTGGATTGTTAAGACTAACGCACGAGTACTCTACAGTTTCTGACTCACGTATTAATTAACACATTTTTAATAAATGCAGTGAATTTCGTGAGCTCTTTTTGTTTATCTGGCCGATGCATAATTAATTTTCAAGTCATTTTTTTTACTCGCAAACTCTTGCTCTCTGTTTAATATATTTATTTTGAAATTATATTCAGAGTTCTTACTTCTCCTGGGTGTCTCATGTGACACACCCCATTTTTTAAAATAGTCAATACAAATAAAAAGTTATTCAATCGTAGCATATCCCGTGAATATGAAAGTAGTTAAGTAACAAGCTTATGCTGGGTACAGATCTAGCAGCTTAAGGGTGAGGTCTGAAGAAGCTTGGTCTCCTCACTGAAAATATGAAGACAATCGATGTAGAAGAAAAATAGATGTGTATTATTGATAAAATATAACACTACAGTCAGTTTACTAAAAAAAGGCTTAGATAAATAAAAGTTATTTAGAAAAGTCATAAATAAATAAAAATATAGCAAAGCTTTTTGACAAGATATAAGAAAAATCCTAAAACTGTATCTTTTTTCAAAACGTATTCACTTTAAAACATCAATAAGCTGTTTTTGAAAACCAACTTAATAATCGTAAAAATATTTTCAAGATTTTTATTTGAGCAGCTTTTAGTATAAATTTAGTGGGGCTATTGTAGTACACTATAGCCAGCTTTTACAGACTTTAATTATATCCAGTATCTCTTGATATGAACGGCATTGGATACAATGAGCTTATTTTAGAAAACAGAAAAAAAGGTTTTTTCTGGAAAGTTGTGATATGTCCATGAAAAATTACCTTTTAACAATACTGACAGGTTAGGTATGTTTGATGTGTTGAATTAATTTTTTTTACAAGCCTTTATATACAAGCAATAGTTGTATTTTTTTTAATGCACCGTTATGTAGCCATGCAAAGTTCTGAAATCCAAATCGCTAAAATTATGTATAACGCTTTGTCTTGCATGTGAAGCATGACCAGTCTATAGGTGTTAGAGCGAAAAGTATGATTTAATTAACAGAATTTAAATTTTGATATTATTCTGTTATCATATCCAAGTGAGTTTTAATATAAGTATGCCAACTTTAAATTTAATCCAACAAACTATTATGCTCCAAAACGCTTTTTTAGCTATTTTAAACCGTTTGTAGAACGAAGTTCTTTATCGCGGATTACGGTGGGATATATACTGTCCAAGTAATTCCTGTGTATGAAGACGGTTCGGAACAGCGACCCATCAGCCAGAAAGTGTTAGAAAAAAGCGTGCACTTTTAGGGGGGGTGGGGAGCATAGCGTAGCAGTGGCAACACAGTGGGAGAGAGAGCCTGCCAGTGCAGGGATCCATCAGCCAGAAAGCGTAAGAGTAAAGCGTGCACTTGTAGGGAGGGGACACACAGAGCAGTAGTTTTGACACATAGAGAGAGAGAGAGAGAGAGAGAGAAAGAGAGGGAGAGAGAGACACCCAGCTCAGTGACTAATCAGCCAGTGAGCGAAAGAATAATTAATAATTTCTACATGCATAGAAGATCTTTGTTCTTACCAGGAGACTTTAAGTCCCACACGCTAGTTTTTTTATGTTAAGTGTATTATAACAACACTATAAGATCTAATTGGTCAATATAAAAGAGTATATTTATAGAGGATCCATAATTTTCTTATAAAGTATTTTGTCTAAAAATATTATGTGTAACATAAATTAAATATTAAATAACGACATTTAGTTATGTTTAAACAATTTTAGTCGATTTGATCGTTTAGATGGCATTTAGAACAAAAAATTGCTGTTTAAAACAGTTTCATTTTAATTTGGATTTGGATTTCAGAACTTTGCATGGCTACATAACGGTGCATTAAAAAAAATACAACTATTGCTTGTATATAAAGGCTTGTAAAAAAAATTAATTCAACACATCAAACATACCTAACCTGTCAGTATTGTTAAAAGGTAATTTTTCATGGACATATCACAACTTTCCAGAAAAAACCTTTTTTTTTGTTTTCTAAAATAAGCTCATTGTATCCAATGCCGTTCATATCAAGAGATACTGGATATAATTAAAGTCTGTAAAAGCTGGCTATAGTGTACTACAATAGCCCCCCTAAATTTATACTAAAAGCTGCTC